TCTTCCTGTTTCTGAGCCAAGCAATGAGCAAATATTTCTAAAAACCATTGTTTTCATTTTTATTCTCCTTTTGAGTCACTTAATTGTAGTAAACATTCTATGTTTGTTTAATTAATTCATTAAGTTCAAACTGTGAGCCCTGTTATCAGTCTTCAGGCTTTAAAGGAGGTCGACAGCCAGTGTCTTTGGCTCTTTCCCAGAAGTAGGAAAAATGTCTTTATTTTACTTTTTCATGTTACATTGAAGGAATCTTGCCCTTTTTTTTCTGTGTTTTCTCAAATCTCCAAGGCAAGTTAATGGGTCTTCTGAACCAGACCTCCTTACTAATTCATTGAACACAATCCCTTGCAGTGATCAGACACTGAAATATTATTTATTTAATAATCAAAGAGGTGTTGTCTATATGGTGCTGTGATTAGTGACCTAATGTCCTTCATACTAGGTCCATTCACTTCACTTATCTTTTGGACCTAGAGTGGCACATTCCACATAAAAGATGCTTTACTTGTCAGATTAATTAGACAGGTAAGCCGTTTTCTTTCACTCCTTTACTGTCTCTGAGCCAGGCCAGGGTGGTTCTAATTCATGTCCATCATCAGCATCCAATCAATATTTAAGAAACTGGGTGGAAAAATCACATACTTGCTTTTCAGAAAATGTTTTCCCACCTTTTCCACTGAACCAGGTGGCAAGTGTAGATGGGATTTTATCCCTCTACTTAGCTCAGCATTTAGCATACTGCCTTATACAAATCTATTTTCTCCATTTTCATCATTGTATAAGCTTAGGAGTGAGTGGTTACAAGACCCTTTGGTCTGAATATCACATTTGTTATTTCATTTTCTCCTGTGAGTACTCCATAATGATAAAATGATTTTGCTATTCTAAGGGATACGATTCTGAACCTCACAGAAAGTAATCACTGATTACTGATTAAGCCAACATTTAACTCCTCTCTGAAGAGAGCTGTAGGCTTTATAAATATATACACAGATCTCTGTTTCAGGTTCATTAATAAAAATAATGAATTTTTGTACCCCACTTGCTATCTCTGGGAATAAGACAAATAAGCAATATAATCATTATTAATTCAAAAGATATTGCTTATGCATGTTTGGCAGTTTAAAAATTATAAATTCAGACTATACGTAATTTCTTCTGCTACCAAGGACAGAATAAAGATCTTTGCATCTCAGTGCCAAGCAAGAACACTGGAACCTAACAGATGATTACCATCCATTCTTGCATTCATCAGGCATTGAATGCCTTACATATGATGTTAAGTGTTAAATAACTAATAGTCCTTGGATTTTGAAAATTTATTAGAATAGTATAACAATTTTATAAACTTGGCATGGAGCACCAAATTGGAAAATCAATAGCTATACTTATATGGTGTTCTAGAGTTCACAAAATGCCAACATATTTCCTTATTCTCAGCTCTGGGCACAAAGAAATATGGTAAATCTTTCTTCAGTGCCCATAACACTGGATAAGATAGTAGACAATTAATGTTTATCCACTATTTCATTATTTAAACCCTTGGTTGTATAATTATATTTTTAAGCCAGGGTCTCACTGTGTTGCTCAGGCTGGCCTTGAGTGCCTGGGTTTAAGTGATCCACCTGTTTTAGGTTCCTGAATGCTGGTACTACAGGAACATGCCACCTGGCCTGGGTTTTATAATTATACCACCCTTCTCATTGTGGGTCAAGCATACACAATGAGAATTGTGTAACGACAATGCTTATTTTATAAATAAGTTGTTTCATTCATATAGAAACCATCTTCTTTTCAGAGTGCTTTATAGTTTAAAGAATGCACTCATCATATTCATTAGCCTGTCCTCTAACCTGGGAAAATAGACTGGCATTGGTTTAAGATGACCTCAATAATAAATTAAGTATCATCTCATTTCTCATACCTGAATAGCATAGAGCATTAATGTTCCCCTAATTACATGGGAGAATTAATCATGGATACCATGGACCCAAAACAATAGCTAGTATGGAAGAGGCAGTTCATTCATAAACAGGTAGCCTATTAATATTTGCATAGTGCTTCAGTTTACAGAGGACTTTAATATGCACTTCCTTTATGAAAATTTTAGTTCAGCGAAAATATATTTTGTCCTACTTTGGTATCTTTGATACAAAGAGTTATCCGTTCATTTATAGTTTTTTTATTACACCTCCAAATCACATTAAGTGTGTTTTGGAACACAACTAGAGTTCTTGGTACATTTTAAGTAAGGACAATTTCTTGGTACTGAGGATTGAATCCAGGGTCACTTAACCACTGAGCCACATCCCCAGCCCTTTTTATTTATTTATTTGTCTGTCTGTTTATTTAGGGACAGGGTCTCAGTTGCTAAGGCTGGCTTTGAACTTGTAATCTTCCTTCCTCAGCCTTCTGAGCCACTGGGATCATCACCTGGTTGGTGATGACAATTTATTAATCACTTGTATTTGGAGTATATTTTGTAGATTAAGAGGAGTTTCCGTGTTTTTTCTGTTCTCTGAAGTACTGTATTTTTATTCAGAATCATCAAAGCAGTGGAAACACATTGACCTGATATTCAAATTATTCGTTTATTGAAAACTTATGTCTACATAGGATTGTATTCTTTTGACAAAGCACTTGTTGATTCATCCCCAGCTTTTCTTTTTATTTTGAGACAGGGTCTCACTAAGTTGCTGAGGCTGGCCTGGAACTTATGATCCAGCTGTCTCAGCGTCCTGAAGAGCTGGGATTACAGGTCTAAGCCACCGTTCCTGGCTTCTTTTATTTAATCTTTGTATCTACGGTGCATCTCATGTAGAATGCATACAATAAGTAATGAACATTACTTCATCAACACGGAAACTTAAAGTTCTCATGTGCTTAATAGTTTACAAGGCACATTCTTATATTTTTCTTCATGTCACCTGGATGTGATCATGAATAAGCCCCTGCATACTTAGTAGCACAGGGATAGGCATAGAGAAGGAAATTAATATTATTCAGACATATTCTCAGGCATTTGCATCAGGAATTGGTAAACTATGGGCTAGCAGGCCAAATCCACTTGACCTGCAAGCTAAGAATGGTTTTTACCTTTTAAGGAATATAGAAGAGGCCCATGAAATCTAAAATATTCACAATTAGACCCCTTACAGAAAAATCATAATGACCCCTGATTTACACAATGCTTTACAACTTAACATTGTACTTTGAAATATCAGCTGTGCATGATTGCCAGTCCATTATGAATGCGTACATGTTCTTTTTTCTCTTGTGAATTACAGTGCATTTATACATATTATCAATCATTTAAATCAGTTTTCCTCATAAAAGGGAGAGGGGTCAAGGAGAAGATTAAATAGTTCCAAATTCTCTCATCTTTAAGACTAGAGGTATAGGTCAAACCCAGGAGTAGGTTTGACAGAGTCCACCAAATTCTTTGGCCACTACTATGAGTAGGGAGTTCAGATCTCACTCTGTCTCAGGCCTAATCACCCCTTTCAAGGATATTACTAGAAATTCCAAACCCCAAGAATCCTGCTCACCCAAGGTCAAAGCAGGAAGGTGATGCTGGCTGGTAGTTCTCAGAAGGCTGTCACATCTGGGTGTCCTCTCTAGATAGCCTTGCACTTTCTCTCCATTTTCTCATCAAACTAGGGCTTGTGAGTTAAGGAGAACTGAAATATAGTGTCTATATGGAAGCTTGCTACTGAATGATGTAACAAAAGGCAGACTACATATTGACTGGAAGTAGATGTGAAGAGAAATGGAGGGTTAAATCTTAATGAATGGCTTCAAAATGGGCTCAAGATTGGCCTATGCATAATACTGTCACTCTAAAGATATGTTCCTTTAAGGTAAATGGCAACATCAAAAAGTACATCTCAAAATAATCAGGCTTTCATGCAAATAAGAGATCTGGAAGGGAGTATTGAAAATGTCCCAATAGTGAGCAGAATAGCAATAGAAAAAGATTTGTGGTTTAGGGTCCTCATCTTGGTGTTTTCCCCAGTGTTGAGGTTTCTGTCCTTCCTGAGTTCCAGATCAGAAACCTGGAATCTCCCGTTTCCAGGTTTTATTCTTGAGGGATCTGTTTCTCTTAGGCCTTCCGTCCATGTAGGGAGGCTTGAATCCTTGCTCTTATTTGGGTGTGGGGTCTTCCACCCGTGGGTCTTAAATCCTCAAACTAAGACCTTGGTCTTATGTCAGACTTGAGACTTCCATCTATCTTGAGACATGGGCTTTTCATCTTAGTCCTGAGTCTCAAGTTTCAAACCACCTGTCTTCCACTTTGGGGCTTCTACCTTTTGTCCATCTTTTGGGTTTTAACTTCAGTCTGGATTCCAGGACCATATTTTGGTATTGGATCATCTCACAGGGCAGCTTGGCACAAGGAACAGCTCTGCAATGCTGATTTTGATAGCTGACATTCTGAACCTATTAGAAAAGGGTTAGGAAGCCCCTCTGCCACACATAGCAAGCATGCACACATATGCACATAGCCAAGAGAGGATTACATGAAGTCAGAGAGAGGGAAACATAGACTCACAAAGAGGCTGAAATACTCAAAAGGTGAGTAGAAAAGGAAAAAGTAGAGAGGACACACAAGCAAACAGAGTAATGCTGAAATAGAAAATCACAAACAAAGAGACACTGAGGTATACACAGGAGCGAAAAGAGAGAAAATAGCACTAGAGAGGCAGAGAGGAAATATAACAAAGAGAAATGTGAGATAAGGAGCAGAATGGACGCCAGAATCAGAAAAAGGTGAATTGTCCAACTTACAAAAAGGAGAGAAGGTAACAAATACCAAGTACACCAAGACAAAAAGACAAATACATAGTGCACCAAGACAAAAAGCAAGGTAGGCACAATAAGAAAAGGGCAAAAAAGCACAAAGCATATGACCTCAAAGAGGAAAAAAGGAAGAAAAGAAAGAAAGAAAGAAAGATAGATAGATAGATAGATAGATCGATCTAAGAGAGCGAAGAGCAATAGCAAGCAAACAAAAACTAGAGAGATCCATTTAAGACAGTGCATAGACCACACTTAGGAACAAAAAGAGAAAGTGAGACAAGGCACACACAGAAGAAATTAGCAAGAGAAACATGGAGCTGATTCAGACACTACTCAAGTTAGAGAAGAAAGAGCAAGGAAGAAATAGACAAGCAAAGAAATGCACACTTAGGAGCGAAAGAGATAAACAAAGGCAGACCATCACAGGAGGAGACTAAGAAGGACTAGAGACGAGACACAGAGAGGGACATAAGAGGCACAAAATCTAAAAAAAAAAAAAAAAAAAAAAGGAAAGGTGCTGTTAATTATGAAAAGCAATTCTTTGTACCAGTGCTACTTATATTACTACTAACAATAATAATGAGTTTGTTAGCTTAAGGATTTCTTACATAGAACCAAAACATGCCAACTCTGCCTGCCCACAGAGTGCTAGTGGTCACTTATATTGTGTAAAAGGAATCTGTGAAACTATTGGCATTAATTTTTATTTGCCGTCAGCCAGTCATTGTACTCTAAGTACTTCACATTCATAATTTCTTTAACCCTGGCAAACAGAAATCTAATCAAAGACTCTCACTTGCCAGTGGTCATACTCTTAAAGAAGTAGCAGAAAGGACTTAAACAGAAGGTCCCTCTTAACATTCTGCTACAATTAACTATTTGCTAAGATTTCCCTAAGAACTAAAGAAGATGTCACAGATGAGTGAATATTTTCATAAAGGGCCCTTGGATAGCGCAAAATCCTTTCATTTTATAGCTTCACCTTTCCCCATCCATTTAGAAAACAGACTTCTCATATCCTTCACAATGACAATAGATGCTTCCAAATCTGTCTTTTATTTTTTTTTCTTTTCCTTTCTTGTTAGAGATTGAACCCAGGGACGCTTAATCACTGAGCTACATCACCTTTTTGTTTTGAGACAAGGTCTCCTTTAGTTGGTGAGGCTGGCTTACAACTTAAGATTCTCCTGCCTCAGCCTCCAGGGCCACTGGGCTTATAGGCGTGGGACACTGCACCTTACCCAGGTTTCTCTTTACACTAAATCCTAACTCAGATTCTCTCCCAAATGGAGATGAGAAAGGGCCAGGCTTTCATCAGAAAGCATTACCTGTCTTTTAGGCTTTCAATATTTAAACCTTTAAGAATGGCAGAACACCTGAACATTTAAGATATACAATAAGGCAAGTAGAGGCTAAATCCCCCTCTGTGATCCAACGGGTAAGTAGTTAACAGTGAATTCAGTTGGTAATATAGGGCACTGGTCATCTTCCCATCTCAGATTCGGCCCTGTTTCCATCCAATATTAATTCCCTGCAAACAGCCGTTCATTCTGGGGCAATACTTACAGGATTGCAACCCCAACAGCTTACTTAATTCTGCTGTTCTGAAATGCTAGTGTCAGGCATGTTGATCTTCAGATAGAAAACTTGGCTCCTTTTGATGTCTTCTCATTTCTTTATCCTGATGATGATCCAGCTCTCTGTACTGCTTTTGGGAAGGATAATGGTTTGTCAGATATTATCAATCGAGAGCTTAAAAAAAAAGAGAGAGAGAAAGAGACCATGTAAATGTCATAGAAGCATAAGTGTGCTACAGTATTCATATTTGTGAACTCTAAAAAATATATTCACAGAGTTTAGAAACTCATGAAGTTTAAGCTTTTAGGCCCTTTAGGACAGAACTAATACAGAAGAGGAAATGGGAAAACGTCTTGTCCACCATCACTTTATGAGCCATTGGAGACACTATCATTAGTCATAGCCTTGTCTCTTTAGTTGAAGACTAGAATCCTGTTTAGAATGAGAATCAGCTAGGAAGGTGTCCCTTCCAATGATTCATAACCAAGATCACAAAAAGATAGAGATAAAAAGAGAATAGGGTCTGAAAATTGAAGGGCCAAATTAGTTGTATTAAAGTATCTTGGCTCAGGACTACCAATAGAAAGCAATAGAGCAATATTTCAAAAACTCATATGACATTGATCTCTGAGATAAAGGTGAGTCACTCTGGGACTCACACTCTCCAAATAAAAAAGATGAGTATAGGGTACTGGCCCTAAGGATTCTGAGTGTAATAGATCTTCCTAGGCTTTCCAACAAGTTGCTAGTAACTTTCTAAATCCTTGGGTTTTTCTACTCAATTATAACATTTCAAGGGCTCCTTCCATGAAAACATCTCATTGAATTTATAGGGTACCCACTCTTTATGAATAATGCTGGACAACACCTTTACCATTAGGATTACTGTACTGAATGGTGACCTTCATTTCCCAACCCTTCCCCTTAAACCTTCCCATCCATCTACTGACCTAGAGAGTGTAGGGTCCTGGTTCTGTAGATGCTGCCCAATGTGAGATAACCCTATACCATTTTTGGTCAGATTTCCAGTTGTACTTATTATTAGTCTTCTGCCAATCCGCATGCATAGCATATAGAGATACAGTTCTCTTTTATCTTCTCAAACCGCTGATTGTGTGTTACATCCTTGAAGTCTGTGAATGCCTGGCACAGTTCCCCTGTAAAGCTTCAAAGGAGATTTTGGGGACCACATGGAACAGAATGATTTGCTTAGGAGATCAGTGTTGTTGCAGTGGTAGTTGTTGTCCATGTTCTCCTAAAAGAAAGACCAATTTGAAAATTTAGTTGTAGGCCTCTTCCACATCCTGCAGTTCTATCCTAAACTGGTTCATGCAGCATGGTAACTTCTTCACCTCATTACTTTCACCAATCTGACACACTGTTGCCTCCTGTTTGTACCAAAGCAGGAAAATAAATACAATTTCTGTGAAAAGCTAACTTCACTGTTTTTGAGAAAAACAAGATCAAAATTAAGAATATTATGCTTTGAGGGATAGCTTACCCATCTTGATGTGCGGTGGTTGTCTTTGAGTCTTCACTCTCCTATCTGGACCCAGGAAAGAATCTTAGTAAAATCTCCCGACCCAGGGTTGTTGCCCAGTGGCAGTGAGCTTTTCCCCTGGAGGATCCTCATGCCCCATCTCCACCTGGGGATCGTCAAAGGGAAAAGGTCACTAACACTGCAAAGCAACAAGCCTGTTCTTCTGAGGAACATCTAGAGAAGAAAAGAAAAAAAAAAGAAATTATTAATTATTAAAACAAGTAGACTAAGAAAGTCTGTCCTGATTGGTAACTAGCAACTGAGTTAAACCATGTCTACTCTTTTCCTTGCACAGATTGAAGGATGAACACTTCTAGCTGTTTAGAGCTCTTTACCTCCCTGGATTGATCAGTCTAGCAGCATGAGAATTGTTCTATTCATCCCAACACTGTTCTGCATACTTCCCCTCATTTCCAAGAGCAATCTAGAGCTGAATAATTATCAAATTCACAGAGTCTGCTTTATTCTCCAGTGTCTATTAATGAGCAATCCTCTGGAATGTGAGTGGTAAATGCTCTTGTTTGTGTTCTCATTGGAAATATAATGGATGTCAAGAAATTTAAAAGTTGAAACCAATGGAAGGAGAAGCCAAGGCTTTCTCAACCAAGAGATGAAGCCACTTAGATAAGGCACTATTGTTAAGATTCAGTAACCCTCACCTATCAAAGTGCCTGCCTGTCTTCTAGCTTTGCAGTGTTCACCTCTTTTAAGAGACTTCCAACTTCTTAAAAGGAGGATGTGGCAGTGACAAGGGAATCAAATAGGCCTGCTAAGGAACAGATCTGATACAGATAAAATTGATCCTATCCATAGGCAACTCCTGAGAATTTAACACTGATTGGCCCAAAGGAAGATGGGAATTTAAAACACTTTATTAATTTTAATAATAATTTTAAAGCCTTTTAATCTGAAGGCAGCTACTTCATTGACCAACTAGGAACTGATTAAAAGTGGCTCCTTGGCCAACTAGGAGCTGATGAAAAGTGGTTCCTGTTCTGTTTTTTATACAAAGAGCTGCAGAAAGTGAAAGCCCTTAAAGCCGAAGCAGAAATCTACCAATGATAAATTCCCCTAACTACCTTTTTCTTCAGGTGGCCTGCAAGCTCTCTGCCCAGGTTACCTGGAGCTTGTCCAGACTCTCAAAAGGGAAGGTCTGCTGAATGTGTAGCTTCTTTCAGCTGCTTGCAGTCCTCAAATCTCACATGCTCTGAGTGTCCTTGAGAAGAAAGAAAGGGCTCAGTAGGCTACCAAAACTGGTTTTAAATAAAAATTGCAGGGGTTGGGGGACTAGGAAGTATAACATGAAGCATTAGACAGACCTATCTGTACTTTCTAGTACCCCACTAATGAGAGTAGGATTAATGGATCCCAGCTGAAATTCATTTATGCACTATGTATTTATGGTTTCTGGAAGGAAACAAATACTGGTTTCCTCCCATATTCTGACTCTCTCCCTCACTGCAGTACAACTAGTAGGTTATTATTAGCACTATCATGTCTAAAATACCTTGCTATTTTGTTGGGTTGCCAATGTAGTACGGCTTGAGCATCAAAGCCCCCTAGTTTTGTTTGTTACTATAGTAATGACATAGTTCAGGACCATTCCTTTCCCCCTAAAGGGGGAATGTGAGGCCAGAGAAAGTGGTTACATTCTGGAACTGGTACAGAATAAACATTTCACTAGGGTTCAATATTCATTGATGAGAATTTTGAGACTCCTCTGTCATCTTCTATGCTCTACAGAACTTCCATAATGATTTGCTCATTTGTGCCTTCTCTTTGGTTTTGTTATTCATTCCAGTACTTGGCACAATGAATATCTATTAAAATAAAACAAGGATTATCTCAATATTGAGAATGGCTACATTTTTAGAACATCTCTTCTTATAGTTGCTAGAGATTTTTCTTAGGGGCAGAGATTATTTCAAGCAATGAATTGGAATACAACTCCAAGATTTACCTTTCGATGTTCTCTAGCAGTCATCAGTGTGGCCATATAAAAGGTGTTATTCTTCCTCTTGAGTCATGTACAGAACCAGCTCCAAATTCATTCCTTTGAAACAAATTCCACTGATAGTTATAATCATACATTGATAATGATAATTTGATTATTTCCAGAGCTGAATGAAAAATATTTCATAAGCCTAGACCAGTGTTTCTCAAATTGGGGTGATAAGAACTCTGGGGTTTGTGGCTATATTCTTTTTTAGTGGGGGTTGTGGCTCTATTCTCATGGATCCCCAAGTTCTATATGAGTTGTATGAAACATGTTTTTAATAATGGTAACTTGAAATATGAAAACATGTTTACATTTTAAGGAACTTTTCTTAAGTCAGTGTTCCATCAAACACATTCTTTAGGATTTCAGGAAATTTTGCTCCTTTAAGGGCAGGGTGGGCAAGGTTTCCTCATCTAGTACACAAGAACATGGACAAGCATAATCATCTACATAAAAGCCCACAAATAGGGGCATTAAACACCCCCACTGTACTGCAAAGGGGTCTAAGAGTAAGATCTTATTCATATGGGATGAGCCACATACTGTTATGTACATTAAAGTCAAAGAGGCAGTTATTACAAATATGTACACCTTGACTGTTCAAATATAGGGATCTTCTGCAGTGGGCACTCCCTGCTGAAAGGGAATGGCAGAAACTTCCAGAGTGGCTTCCTGCTCTAGTACATGGTATTTCTTTCTGAAGCATGGCTTTAGTGTGAGAAACAATGGCAAAGACCATGTTTCAAAAAAAATCAAGACTATTTTATTATTTACTTACTTATCTGTATGTGTGTGTGTGTGTGTTATCCCCAGTCAGCCAATGTTATTAGGATGGGTGGATGGAGCTCACACACCACAAAAAAAAAAAAAAAAATCAAATTTTATGTGAAAGAATATATTTTCATTGTGTATAAAGATATATATATATATACACACACACACATACATACAAGGTGACTTGAGAAATAGAAAAGAGGCTTATTAGACCCTGACTTTTCTATAGGGTAGCATTTAAGAGAAAGAAAATAGAATAGGGAAATTATTATTTTAATAGCTACAAAGCAGTACTTACAGTATTGTAAACATCCAGAATCTCTTCTTACAGCTGTCCAAAGAGGTGGTAGTGCAAACTGCATTCACATGGGCAGATCTTTTGACATTCTTCTCAGAGTAATAGTATTCTTTATCAGTGACTAGGAGGAACTGCTGTTGTGATGACTTCTTATTTGCTTCAGAAGTTTCATATTAATATATTTAGTCACCACTCTGTATACTAGAGGCTGGGATATTGTTTTTACTAGGCAGCCATCTCACTGTTGAAGTTTATGCTCAGAAAAATGATTAGATCTTGGCCCCTCATTTCTAAGATAAGTCCTCACTCTAGGGTGCTTTTTCAAACTACTTTTAATTAGTAGCAGAATTAAACAGTGCATTTTATATAATAATCTAATGAGGTGGCCTTTAATTTTCAAAAGCTCCTCAGCACATGTCCTCTTATTTAATCCTTCTATGGCAATCCTGAGCTGGTGCTCAAGATGAAGAAATTTAAGAATTAAAAGGCTCAGGTAGTTTTTGTAAAAGTGCTTGGTGCTAAAGCCCAAAGATTGGCTTTAAAATGGTAGTAAGAAAGATACTGGTCTTAAGAGTTGTATTCTGGTACTCCTTTTTAAATACTAAAATAGCAAGAGTCAAAGTGGTCTGTCCACAGACTCATTGTACAACTGCCACATAAAAAAGAGAATATGGGTGTTGTTGGGGTTTTTTTTTGTTGTTGTTTTCTGGTTTGTTTGCTTTGTTTTGCAATGCTGGGGATTGAACCCCAGAAGTACTCTACCACTGAGCTACATCCTAGCCCTTTTTATTGATTTTATTTTATTTTTTATTCTGAAATAGGGTCTCACTAAGTTGTCCAGGCTGGCCTGGAATTTTCAATCTTCCTGCCTCAGCCTCTTGCATCGCTGGGATTACAGGCATATGCCACTGCTCCCAGCAAGGAGATTTATTAACCAGGAAATTTGCTCTGGAAGGAAGAATGTAGAGCAATGTTAATCTTCCTTCCTAGGGAGACAATTTTCAATTATTACGATATAATGAAAACCCTATATCAAGGGTGGCAATCCAGCTCCCTGAGCCTGATTTGCCTTGAATATTTTACACAGTAAAGAAGTAACAAAGATGGGCAGGAGGGGTTCTTATCCCCAGAATGCGCCCATAATTGGAATTGTGATAATTAACAAATGCCAGGGCCTTGGGCAGGTAAAGGCTCATCCACCTAGTTCAGGCCTGATTTTAATAGTTAGTGCTGCACAAATGTATCAAATGGTAGCAAGATCTTGGACTGATGGGGAGAAAATTGGGACAATCAGTCCTGTGTTCTTTAAGGACACAGAAGGGGCTATGGATAATTAGCACTACTCAGAAGCAATGCAAAGGAAGTGGGAGGGGTCTGGGTCTAATGGGCAGGACCAAGGAAATTGCAACTGAAGTGGGTAGGCCAAGGACATCTGGGATTGTTAAGAGAGGGCCTTGCCCAGTCAACATTACTCAGTAAAGAAGTGAATGGGGCAGAGGAGGGTAATGGGGAGAAAGGGAGCACAATCTTATCTAATGGCTGGACTGTGAGCATTAGTAGTCCATAAGATGGGTCTAGGGGCAGACAGGAGGCAGGGCTTGTATGAAGAGTAAGTCAATGGTTACTTGGGATTTCATGTTTTAAGGTAAAAGGAGTGGAAGTATGGGCCATTCACTGTTTGATGTACAAGTACATGGCATACTGTGATGTTTATACTTTATTATGCTATGGGTCACTGGGGTCAGGGTGCTTGCTTAACAAGACCAGGGAGGAAATATAACTAGTGATGATTGCCATTGTGCTTCTTAACAGTCCCCAGATAAGTTTCAGGGAAGGAAAAAAAAAACATTAATAATTTCCATTGTGCCCATAACAGTCTCAGTAGACATTTTGGGTGGTCAGCAGCCCCTGCAGTAATGCAAATGGGGTGTAAGAACATAGGATTCTACCCGTGTATAATTGCAAATATTCACATTGAAGGTCCAAAGGACCTTAGTTGGTCAGCACCACTGATGTATATAATGATGGTGCAGTGGTCTTACCTAATGATCAGTACTTTCTCTATTATTATTATTATTGTTTTTGTTATCATTGCACATTAATTATGCAAGACTTGGTTATGAATAGTATGCCTCAGCAGCAATCAGATCGTAGTAATAAGAACTTAAGGTCCTTTCTACTACACAGGTCCACAAACAGACATAATTATGTACGTTAATATTTGCAAGAGAAGAGCTGATTCATAGTAAATGTCTCCCTGATGGAAGGGGATATGAGGAGATGAAATCCTAGTATTAACATACGCTGAGGTCCAAATGAAGTGGGACTGAATAAAAGTATCTCTCTGCTCTAAAGCAAGGAGAGCTCAAGGGTTCTACATAAGACGTGCATAGATAGAGCATTTTCTTTGTGCATGGGAACTTTCTAAGATAGTCAAGTAGTGGATACTTGTTTTGGGCTAAAAGTGCCAAGGAAGTAGGTGGGATCCATTTCTAGCGCACAGAACAGTAGCAAATGCAATTATACATATTAAAGGTCCAAAAGAAAAGGACCTTGCTTGATCAGCAGGCCCTTCTGTACTGCAAAGGATAGGTAAATGGGTATGATCTTAGTCTATAAAGACAAAAAATAAAATTCAATTACGTTTATTAATGGTCCACTAGGAGGCACAGTGGAGTATCCCCTGAGAAAGAGCAAAGGGAATACAACGATCCTAGATGTAATAGGGTTGTGGTCAACTGCATGTATGCCCAACTGCATGTCCAGGTGTAGAGGTCTTAAGCAGTGGGCATCACTTATTAAAAGGCCGAGAAGTCAGAGGTTAAGGTATCCTTCTCTAGTGCCCAAGAACCCAGTAAAATGCAATTCTGTGTATTAACAGGCCAAGAAAGGAGACCCAGAGGTCACAAACTTTGGTATATACAAATTGATGGTATAAGAGTAAGACCTTTGTTAAATATGATGAACCATGCCACAATTATGTATATTAATGCCCAAGGGACGTAGTTGTGATAAATCAAAACTACATACTTTACACAAAGATTTTAAAGTAGTAGACACTCCCTCCTGATAAGCAAAGAGACTGAGGGGAAGACTGTCCAGTAACATGTGGAAGCCAGGAGAAGAAGCCTCAGTGATCAGTACTACTGCTGTACTGCAAGAGGGTCTGAGAGTAGGATCTTATTCAAATGGGATGAGCCAAGTGCAGTTATGCACATTAATGTCAAAGGTGCAGGACTGGTTAGTATAATTGTGCACCTTGATTCTCCATATCTATGGGTATTATGGAGTGGCCACTCCCTGTTAGCAGGAAAAGGCAGATGGAAGGGAAAGGAGGGATAGGGCAGGGAAGGTAAGGTTGGCTCCCTTGTGTAATTCACAGGAATCTAGCCAAGTATAAACACGCACAAAACAGGCCAAGAATAAAGGCCTTGGAATTCAGCACCCCTGCTCTATGACCAAAAGGGCCTGAGAGTAGAATATTCTTTATACCTTTATTTATTGTGTGGTGCTGAGGATTGAACCTAGTGCCTCACATGTGCTATAGGCAAGCACTGTGCCACTGAGCTATACGCCCAGCCCAACAGAGTAGGAACTGTTGGGAGAAGGCTTGTCTGGGACACAGAAACCCAGAGAAATATCACCCATATAACAGGCCAAGAATAGGGGCCTTAGAGACCAGCACCCCTTGCTGTATTGCAAAAGGCATCTAGAGTACAATCTTATTCAAATAGATAAACCAAGTGTAGTTATATTCATGGTTCAGGTGCATGGTTTGGTTATTACAATTATACACCTTGACTGTCCAAATACAAGGATTTTTATAGAGTGATCTTCACGAGTGGAAGGAAGATAGAAATTGGGGGAAGGCTTGTCTGGGATACAGAAACCCAGAAAATATCATCACCCATTTAACAGGCCAAGGCCATATAGGTGCCTTAAAGATCAGCACCCCTTGATTTACTGCAAAAGGGGTCTGAGAGTAGGATCTTATTCAAATGGGATGAACCACATGGAGTTATGCACCTTAATGTCAAAGGTGCATGACTGGTTAGTATAGTTGTGCACCCTGACTGTGCAAATATAAAGATCTTAGGGAGTAGTCATTTCTACTGGAAGGGAAAGGAGGAGGGAGAAGGGCAGAGTGGGGAAGGTTTCCTCATCTAGTACACAAGAACATGGACAAGCATAATCATCCACATAAAAGCCCACAAATAGGGGCATTAGAGATAAACACCCCCACTGTACTGCAAAGGGGTCTAAGAGTAAGATCTTATTCATATGGGATGAGCCACATACTGTTTGTACATTAAAGTCAAAGAGGCAGTTATTACAAATATGTACACCTTGACTGTTCAAATATAGGGATCTTCTGCAGTGGGCACTCCCTGCTGAAAGGGAATGGCAGAAACTTCCTGAGTGGCTTCCTGTCTAGTCCATAGAAACCTGGACAAATCTAGTTATGCATACCAGCAGGCCACAAAATGGAGCCTTAATGGCCAACACCACTGCTGTACTTAAAAGAAAGTATAAAAGGGAAGGATCCTAAGGCAATTTTCATTATGTACATTAATAGTTTTTGAAAATGGTCCTCAAGTGAACAGTACCTTATGCAGTAAGCCAAAGAAGGTGTGAAGGGTCACAGAAAGAACGCTAACTTGAAGGACCATATACATATATCTATAGTCTCAGGACAAGGGCTTTATGTTGGTCAGCACCCTGATCCAAAAGGCACAGTTTTGGACATCTGGGAATGTGTACAGAACAAGGAAGACTGTACACATTAACTGTGCTAGTTTAAGGGTCTTACATAGTAGGCACCTCCAGCTGCAATGTAAATAGTATGTGGGGTCTTTACCTGGTGCATATTACTGGAGCAAAATTAAGTATGAACATTTAATAGAGTAAATCTTGGCTACTTAGAAGCCTCCCCACAGTGATGCCATGAAGCAAAGAAATGGAATCTTACGTAACATTGGAGGCTTAGAATACTGTTAATTATGCACATTTTTTTAAGTAATATAAAAACACTCCCTGCTGTTATGCCAAGGAGGGAGGTATAATTGAATAGGGCCCTAGGGCAGTTTTGCTCTTTCAAAAGTGAAAGACTTCTGGTACTCACAGCCCCTGCTATATAATAAATCCCAGAAGTCCAGACTTTAGCTTACTGGGACAGACCAGGATCAACTGGAAATAAATTAGCCCTCCCAAGAAAAGGATCCTTCCATTCCTTGCTTTAAATATAAAGGAAGTGAGGAATTAAAGGGTGGGACCATTAGCATTGGAATTTTGCCTATTCATAGTCCCCAAAGGTAAAAAATTAACAAGTGACTTTGATCAGAAAGACATAATTGTGGTCAGTTACCATGGTTCACATTATCTATTCTAATGCAAAGGTCTCAAGTTAAGGTAGGTCTTCCACTGCTGAATTCCAGAAATTTTCTCTGGCACAGGAAGAGGGGAAAACCCATTCACATATATTAACTGTACAAAGGAAGGGGCCTTACTAGGTCCACTCTCTGCCCCAATGCTAATAGGGTGTGAGGAGATGGAATCTTTAGTTTATGGAACCACAATTTTAATTGTGCACTTTGTCAGTCCAAAGTCGCCCCTGCAGTAATGCAGAGGGAGCCTGAGAGGATGGGATCCCAAATTTACAGAAAACTGCAGTTTTGTATAAGAGTTTCAGAAGGGGCTTTAG